TAGGCAAAACTGGAACCGGAAAATTTCTAACGATACCCAACCCTACTTATAGCAAATTCAAAGTAAGAGATAAGAAAATAATTCCTTGTAAAAAAAAAAAATTATTTTTTGCGATTTAATACGCAATTATTTTTTTTAAAGCTAAACTGCTGTAAACCAATATACTGTTACACATCCATTTTCTTTCTCAATTGTTTCCCTTTCACCTAAGCTATAAGCAACTGCGTTTACAACGATACTTGCAGAGCACAGTATTTCAGGCACAAATAGACGCAGAAGTGAACAGAATTCAGTGTTCACGTGCATCTGCGTGGCTCTCACCGTGTCTACATCGGACGAGAGCAGGGGCGGCGCGACTCGACAAAATACAATGAACCCATTATGATCCGTGATGCTGTCAGTCTACACTGGATGCGGCAAGGTACGACAATTCCCGACAGTAAACGGATGCCACGTTCTATTTATGATGTACTGACACAAAGTTCAAATGATGGGCAACGGTCGCTTTGTCGCGTCCAGTGTAGACAGACTTTGGGGCCGTTCACATGTTGCGCCTAAAAACGCATGGAAAACGCCAGTCGCGCCGCTTTCTCCTACTTTCCAAAGTGCTCGGGAGCTTGCGCTTTCATGGCGTCTGCCGTTGCTAAGCAACCGTGCCCTGCGCTCTCCACGACGACGCGGAAGTGTCAACAAAGGATAAACGGATTTCCAGCACTGAAAATCGCGTGCAGTAGCTCTGCTACTAAATGTATTTAAAATGGGTATCTCTGTACAGCTGTCGTGTCCGGTGTAGACACCGTGTCTGTGTGTGAGCAAAGAAAACAATCAGTATAAAGATCAGTAGCCTATACTAAACATCGCACATCCTACGATATGACTATCGCGGATGCGCACATCGCGATATCGATGCTGAAACGATATATCGTGCAGCCCTACTTTGGAGGAGAAGAATTGTTGAATAAAATCATTATTTTTGTTTTCTTTGCACGCGAAAAGTATTCTCGCAGCTTTGTAAAATTACGGTTGAACCACTGATGTCATATGATCCATTTTACCGATGTCCTTGTTTCGTTTCTGGACCTGGGAACGTTTCAGTTACACTGCTGTCTATACAGGGTCAGAAAGCTCTCAGATTTCATCAAAAATATCTTATTTTGTGTTCCGAATATGAACAAAGGTCGTACGGGTTTAGAACGACATGAGGGTAAGTAATTATGGCAACTTTCATTATTGGGTGAACTTTCCCTTTAATGAATCATTATTTACAGCATGACTCCTGTCCAATAAATCGCAATAATTTGTGTTTTGCTACTTTTGATATGAAACAAAGTCTAAGCTTTCAAATTCTGTTAATTTTATTACAAAATTCAAGCAATAAACACTGTTTGGCACTCTTTAATTTGGTGTGACAGATTGCTGTAGCCTCAGCAGAAGCGGCAGCGTGGAGCCCGTGTGAACCGATCATCTCTTCTGCTTTACTATTAGTTACTGCACAAAATGAACATGAATGACCATCAGAAGATGTTGAAAGAAAAAGTACAATTTAGCAAAATGTGTCATGTTGCTCAATCAGTGTTTCAACCGCTTATAAACGATGTCACATAACCTTATGTTTACCTTAGAAAATCCATTCAATGACCCTGAACTCAATAATTAGTTAGAAAAATTTAACTATAGAAATAAGCTAAATATATAGACTGTATTACATATTTATATTTTTACTTGACCTGTTCTTCCATATTTAAAGGGATAGTTCACCCAAAAATGAAAATTACCCCATGATTTACATGATTTACCTTAAAAGTAAATCATGGGGTAATTTTCATTTTTGGATGAACTATCCTTTTAGTGTATGTTTGAATTAAATGTAATTTTATGATCAATTTATTGTACCTTTTACAGCATTAGTTGAGAGATTTTTTTCCCCCATGTACTGCACCTGATTGCCAAATGAATCAGTATAGAATCGAGATCAAAACTAATTGTGAAATTTGTCTCAATAGCCAGCCCTATTAGCAACTGTCCACGACTCCACTCTAGCATCACTGTTGCGGCTTTTGCGCAACAAACACCACTTACGTCACATTAAGAAAATGGCTAGTTTTGTGTCAAATAATAAGTCAGAGTGCACTTAAACAAAAAACATGGGAGGAATTAGGGAGACAGGAAATAACGGATCTCTCCACGCTGAGCTGTGGAATTTCCTGATGCGAGTCTTAAAGGGGTCATATGATGCGATTTCATTTTTTCCTTTCTCTTTGGAGTGTTACAAGCTCTTGGTGCATAAAGAAGATCTGTAAATTTGCAAAGACTAAAGTCGGAGAAACAATAATGTACAGTATGTGGAAAATAATGTGTTTTTTTTACTTTAAACCGCATAAACACATTTCATTACACCAAATACACAAAATAATGTTCTTTTTAGCAGCATCATATGACCCCTTTAAGTTATGCTCTTAAACAAAATGCTACTTTCTACAACACAAAACATTCTGCTTCACAAGAAACCCATTAGGACGTCCCTGAAATCCTAACCAGAAGGCATCCTACATTCGGCTTACTAAAACAAGACTACAGAAATTACTAAACGTGTCTTCATTTTTCTAGCGTCTATCGTTATATTTTAAACAATTTCACATTTTCTGGAGAATGAGTAATGCTTGTCTGTGCAAAACTCACTGCTATGATGCTATCAAGTGGGTGGCTGCTCCTATAAACAATGACTAGAGAAACCATCCATTCATAATTACAATCCTACACATCCAAACTTTGAAGCATGCCATCTAATATTTGTCTAATACAATGAACTGGTAAATCAAGGTAAATCACACAAAACCTTGAAACAGTAACATGCTTAAAAGATAATTTCACATCTGCAGGATGACTTAATATTTATTTAATGTATTATTTAATATTTCAATTAATAAATTAACATTAAAAAAATTACTTGTGTAAATATTAACTTACTAAAAATCTAACCCTAAATTAACATGCTTAAAAAAAAAAAAAAAAATCAAGATGTAAACTGAAATCATATTTCTTGGGGGCTTCGAATATTCTGTTGAACAACAGGGAGCCTCGAGTCCAAAAGCTTGCGAATCACTGCACTAAAGTCTCCGCATAAGTAATATTCAGCTGAGTGAAACCTCAACAGATGGTGCATGAAGACTTGCATGCAAAATGGGGATGAAAAAAAACTTCTGCTTTCCTCGAGACTGATGTCAATTGTCATTGCACTGATTATTAGCAGCCCTCACAGAAATCCGCATCCGGAGATGCTTGGTATCTATATGAATAACTTGCAACAAGACCTCACTCAGAAGAGCATATGAAGATAAATATCAGAGTCAATGTCATTGCATACCACAGGAATACGATCACATTAAGCAGTTGAATGGCTTCAAAAGTCACTATCAGTTCAAGTGAGTAAAAAAAAAAAAAACTTGTAAGATGGTGCACAAAGTTATGTCTTATAAAGACATTTTGTGATAGTAAAAAATTTTAAATATTACATTCAATGCAAACATTTGTTGCACATATAAAAGTGCACAGATTTGTTGTATATACACTAATTCAACACATCCCTGCTTGTAGACTAAACCTCACATACTGGAAATAAGGGGTTTTGCCGGAACTGCCTTCATGCAGCAGTTACGCTGACAAGAACAATCAGTTTCTGATGGACTGTAAGATTATCACATAGACCAGGTTCTGGGGTGAAAGTCATACCTGAACCCAGGTTTGAGAGGATTCTTATGGGATAGGTAAGTGTCTCACCTGAACCTGGTTTGACCTGACAGGACAGGTGAGAGATAGGGAGCGACCAGAAGTCATTTTGACTGACATATTTTACCGATATTCACACTTTACAACTGTCAATTGGTTATCGGTTCTTTAATAGTGGGTCTGCCTATTAAATGTGACCATTTGACAGATAAAAAATAATAATAAAATCAACCAACAAGAGAATATACTGCAAATTTAATTATAATTAACAGTTACTCATTCTTAACTTTTATAAACAAGAGCATTGTATTAATATTTGTACTGTTGTCCAACAATCATCTAGTTATTATCATCAAAATTATTTTAGATATTTAAAAATTATTTTGGATTTTAGAAATAAAATCGTTCTGCATTCGTTAGCAGAAAAGTAACATATGGCGTATCTAGAACGTATTTTACAGATATTATCACATTTCAACTTAATCAGTTATTTAATACCAAAACTATTAATAAGTGGCCCATTTGACATTTAAACAAAAGCACCCAAACAATTCTCAATTATAAAATATGTAAAAAATAAAAATTTTCAGAAATAATTGTCTATTTTTAAAAAAAAATAGGTAGCTTAACCATTAGCTAACTAGATAGATAGATAGATGTTCTAAGTTACCTTTTTTTCAAAAATAGAAATAAATATTTCTGAAAAATGTACTTTTTTACATATATATATATATATATATATATATATATATATATATATATATATACACACGACTCTACATAAACAACAATAGTTATAATAAAATATTTATAATGCATGTTTTTATTGCTGTTTAATGTCCATCTAGTTATTATTGTGTAAACATTTTGGTTCTGCATATCAGTTTTCAGAAATGAAACAAAAACTACAGATATCGGTCATAAAAATGAAGCACGATTGGTCAGTCGCTAGCAAGACCTGGACCTGGTCTGAGGGGGTTTGAGATGAACAACCGAGTATCTTTCCTGAACTGATCGGTTTCTGGTGGGACAGGTGAGAGATTTCTGACGTTGAGACTTACCTGGTTTCTTGCAGGACAGGTGAGACCGCTACCTGAACCCTGCCTGAGAGATTTCTCATCGAACACGTGAGAGTTTTACCTGGTCTAAAGGGTTTCTGATCGGACACCTGAGCGAGCGTGTTATAAAACAGCAGACCTGGTCTATGCGAGCTTCCTCCGGGTCTGATCTCTGGAGGCTTTCAGATTTGACAGGTGTGATCAGCAGCATCTTACCTGGAGTGTCGGAGGACAGCGCAGGTGAGTTGAGTTTGGGCCGCTTTGCGCTGGAGGGACCCATATCCAGCAGATTATCAGCCATCGTGCTCTCTCGCTTCACAAAAAAACACGTCAAAGCAATAAATGCGTCTTCCAAGAGCCCGGGAGGGGGGACAAAGCGAAATAAATCAAATCAACCTTCGGGTTTTTCTATGATTATTCAGCGATCAGGGGCCAATAATTAACAGATGGGGCTCAAACGCGACTCAACAGCGCCCCGCTCCGCCACCGCCATTCACCCAGTGTCGGAGGACAGCGCAGGTGAGTTGAGTTTGGGCCGCTTTGCGCTGGAGGGACCCATATCCAGCAGATTATCAGCCATCGTGCTCTCTCGCTTCACAAAAAAACACGTCAAAGCAATAAATGCGTCTTCCAAGAGCCCGGGAGGGGGGACAAAGCGAAATAAATCAAATCAACCTTCGGGTTTTTCTATGATTATTCAGCGATCAGGGGCCAATAATTAACAGATGGGGCTCAAACGCGACTCAACAGCGCCCCGCTCCGCCACCGCCATTCACCGCATGATAATCCAACACCCAAAACCCGCATAATTAACCTTAATGATCACCCCAAACCCCACGGAAATAAATTATATCATCGTTAAAAATCGAAAAACAAACGACGAGGGGAGAAAAATCATCAATCCCGGTTCCTTCAAGTGGCTCTGTTCAAAAATGCTATTTTCTGCGAAGAAAAATAAAGACCTTCAAGCTCCATGTCCAGCCCGAAGCGAATAATCAGGGAAGTCCGAAAATATAAATGAAAAATGAGAGCAAATAATTCTGTTTTAATATAGGCGAGTGGCACAGGAGCGCCGCTCGCGCTGAAGGGGGAAATCAGATATACGGGGGTTTTCCAGCCGACCACAAAAACGGCTCCATTACGCTAATATTCGCCACAAAGATCCGCGATTCGGCCCGAAGCTTATCGTTTCCGTCGCAGGGAAGCTATTTGGCCCGGTTCCGATGGAGCCGGGTGCGTAAAAAATAATATATGCTCTCCCGAAATCCTGACGCTCATCCGCGACAAGATGGCGGCTGTTGATTCCTTCGATACAAAAAGTTTTTTTTTCTTTTCCAGCCAGACTGTGGAGGGGGAGGGGCTGCGCGGCCACGCCCCTCACACAAACGCGTACGTCACGCGGTCGTAACCAAAACAGCCGCTAGGGGGCGTGGTTTACATGTAAATAGCGAAGATGTAGTGTTCAATCGGGTCAGTTTTGAACGTCCCCTTACAAAAGTGTACCATGGTAACAAATACCACAGTTAGCACATCTCTTTATTAAAATTAAATGAAAACATTGTTTGAAAGAGAACTGTACTAGGATTTTTCAGTGTAGTACTGCAGTAAAACTTGGTAGACTGCAATTAACCATGTAACTTTTGTAAATACAGCTGTGTGTATTCAAAAGATGTGCTTAATAAGAATAGAAGGAATAGTTCATCCCAAAATTAAACTTGTGTGGTAGTGTGTGTGCAGGATATTGCTACTGTGAACAGGCATTGAAATTTTCAGCTTCATTACAAATCAACAGACAGAAGCAGACTTCAACACTGTATTATTGGCTTTCCCTTTTCATCCATTAGCTTTGATGTAACAGTATGGCACATGCATTGATATAAATAATACAAAAATTAATTATATGTCAACACAGAGCAATGCATATGTACAAACATAGGAGAGAAAAAAATTTATACAAATGAATACAGATTGAGTTTATAAATGAAGAAACCCAAGAGAAACTCGAAATCATACATTCTTGAATAAATACGCTCTTTGGCAAGAAGTCCCCAGTGTGTGATATTTCTATTAAAACACACGTTTCCTACGTCAAATTGCTTGGAATCATCAATTGGGCCAACTTAAGTGATTGTAAATAAAAATAAAATGTGGCTCTTCTGTTATCATACATTAGTTCAGCCCTTTCATTTGCCCTAAATGTGTTTTCCTCACAATAAAGTCTCAAACAGAAGTAATGGAATGGAAAGTTCATAAGGAGCACATTTCCATAAAAAATAACTGATGAAAAACACAATTGTGCTTCGTCAAGCTAAGTTCAAGCAGCAGTTCGGAGGCTGAAGCGTAACGCTTATTTAGTTGGATCAAGTTTTATATTGCTCTACTACTCTGAAACAGAGGAGCCCATAAGGGTTGTGTGCTCATTCCCCATCCAGACAGCAAGGGCACTTTTATTATTTAGCAAAAGTCGTGCCCTATAAAATATATTATAAATACATGGATTGCTATGCTTGGTGTCACCAAAAACACATCAACTGAACAGTATCAAAATCAGCACAGAATAAAAATGACATATTAGAGTGGCACCTTGGAGTAAATAAATGACAATATTCATCCTGTACATTTTTAAATAAAGAGCAGTTCACATTCAAAAGGAATATACAGTGAAAATGGACACGTCAAGCTAATCGTTAAGAAAAGGCACAGCGCTAAAGATCACGTTGAATCTCAAGACATTTATCATACACAAGCATTTAGTGTATGAAAATGAACAGATAAACAGGATGTCATTTGACCGATCAATGCATTCTAAACGAGTAAAAGGCACTAATATATACAATGAGAAATACTGGCAAATCAATCACCTTTTATAACAATTCCCTTTTAAATGTATATTTTCTTGGCAGATTGCTAATTCACAGCAATGTCAAGAAAAGTTATACATTTCACATTTTCTCATATTCCCATAAATATCACCACTGAACGTGAAGCATGACAAATCAATAGCAAATCATTGAGCACACAACCCTTTTAAACTAATACAGGTCGCCCATCATAAAGCCAAAACGTAAGGGAAAAAGCAAAGACACTAAACTGCTATCAAAATGTAAAACATCCATTTTTAAATCATTAGACAGTCGTAAAATGTATGTAGTATCAGTGCAGATTAAGTTACTCACAAAGCTCAATGTTAAAAAGATTAAAATCTACTTCCTTTTGCTAATATCCCATACAATAATTTACCCTTTACTATTGCACATCAAAAGACAAGCAGGCAGAGTCAAGGCTATGGTCTAATCTATTCTAATATTCACATGAGTCTGTACATTTGACTGGTACATATATGTTACCTAGATTATTACCAGTCCTTGAAACTGTTATGCCACTATGGTGACTTAACTGTCTCTTTTAAGTTTTATTTTTTCACATTTGAACTAATTGAATTAACTTTTACCACTCAAGATGTCAGCGCACAATAATTCAAATCAAAGCCAACATGAAATGGCACGCTCATACTCTCATATGACGTCATTTTAAGTGAAACATTACATATTCCATGAGAAAAAAAAAGTAGGATAGGATTTAATTTGATCCATCAGGGATTGATTAGACCAGGGGTACTCAAGTTCAGAGGCCAAGCGGGCCGCATTTTAACCACATAAAATGCGAAGGGCCACAAATTACAATTTGCATCATAAGACTTTATTTAAGACAATATTTGCAGTTTAACTGATTAAGAAATGCAGTTTATCACTCATCTAAGACTTGCTTGATTAAATACATTAGTCTTCTGCATGACGCAGGCCACAAAATGAATGCAGACGGGCCCCCTGTTGAGTACCCTGGGATTAGACGGTGGAAGTAGACGATACCAGCTTTTTTCCACCCAATTTTTGAGGATTTTTGACCAGAGTTTGTCCAATTTTAAAGCATTGTTTTCAAATCTATCATTAGGCCTACTTGCTATTATTGCCATAATCAGTTTAATATTGAATTGCTGCACTACCTACAACAGTAGCCCAAAACAATGTTATTTAGCTACTGATTACCATTATTTTCCATTCCTGCACAGCCTAGGTGACATCAGCCGATAAGTCATTTCAGAAGTGTCGCAAGTTTAAATTTTGATGAAAGATTACAGACATTTTTGCTTTTACAACAACATGCACTAATGGATCATCCAGAATAAGACTAGGAGAGTAAATGGGGTCAGTGTTGATTTTATGTTGACTTGTAAACAAACTGCCTATATCTTAAAACTGACTGCCCATTTTTATATTTTATATAATATTTTGTGTAAAGTCTGAAAGTCACAGTAGCTAATGCATGAATGCATTTTTGTCCTTTAAGACTATGATCTCATTAGCGTTAAGGCAAACTTGCACATCGTCTTAGAACTTTCATCTGAAATTCAGATGTCAGTCAGCCAACCAAGCATTTAGCTGCAGAATGAAGAGCAATAGGAAAAATCACGAAAAAAGAGACGGAAAGGCCATATTCAGACACTTAGGAATGCATGCATCAAGATAAAGTGCTAGAGATGTTTGATATTGTTGACTGTAGGCGATTTTAGCCCATAGCTTGCTCTACATTTCACTAATACTTCTTCACAGACACTTTTGGCCATGCACCATTCAACGCGATGGTTTTATCTTGGGTCTTTTTAAAACAGCAATCATCGCAATACAGAGTTTTGCTTTGTAAAATTGTTTTGAATACTGACTAGATGAACGTCCAACTGAGAGAACTCAAATTATCTATAAATATTCCAAAATATATCAAATACTTTCACAAAAATTAAAGCGCTTTCTAACATCAAATTTACATGCTAAATCTTTTAGATCTTCAGCGAAAGATTTGATTGAGAAACCTTTTTGAAAAATGCCTCATACATATTGTTATCATCCTAAAGGCACTTCATTAAAAGAAAACCAGTCACGAAAGGCAGCCTATAGTAGAAGCTAGAGGAAAATAATATTCAAAATTAAATTAGCGGAAATAACTGCGGTCTATTTAAGGATGGGACTTCAGGTCTGTGCCGTCCAAATGCATCTCCTCTGCATTTCGTATCCCATATAGAAATGGTTCATGTGGCTCCTCCCGAGTTTTTACGGTCCAGCACCACCAACCAGATGTGGAAGTATCTCCTGATTCGGCTAGCGCTATAAACACTTCAAGGTTGTGTGCTTAAACTTTCCACATAGACAGATGCAAATCTACGTTAGCATACATCCCTAAACTCGCCTATCCCGACAAACTCAATGGAGAGCCTGTGTTTAAAGGGTTAAAACCAACAGCGACAACAATGTTGGCTTGTTTCAAGTCAAAGTTTTGTCATTTCGCCCATGTACGCAATTTCTCCCTCCATTTTTGCAACAACCTCTGCGATTTCCACCCGGACAGGAGGGGAGGTCAAAGTCGGGTCCGGTGGTTTACAGAAAACCGCTGGACTTGCGCTCAAGCTGGTTTCCGGTATGCAAGTCAGGCCAACAGCAGACGCAGATCGTTGAGTCTTCGACGTACCATTGCTTCCAGTCTTCTCGGGAAAGTCTCTACCAGCAAATCCCTGTCCGGTGAGTCCTGAGCTCACAGAAAACGACGCGCCTACTTTACTAGCACTGGCCGCTAAGACCATATTGGCGATTTCATCGGTGGGCGAGCGTCCAATGCTGCCATCCACCTGCACTCGGATTTCCGGAGAGACAGAGAGCTGGTATTGAGGTACAGGTCCGCTGTCTGAGTTCTTCGGGTAAAGGTAGGTCTTCATTTGACCCTTGCCCTTCACGTTGACGGTACCACGGTAGTCGAACTCGTAGTTCATTCCACTGAGCACGCAGTAGCTCTCCTCGCTAACCTGAACGCGACACTCCACGCCAGTCGTGTCCATCCGGCTTGCGATGTTCACCGTGTCGCCCCAGATGTCGTAGAGTAGCTTTGTGGTACCGATTACTCCGGCGGTAAGAGGTCCGTGGTTAAACCCGATTCGCAACTTGAACTTAAAGCCAAGCATGTTTTTATTAAAGTCGTCCACCACGTGCATCATTTCCAAAGAAAATTGGAAGAGCGCTCGCAGGTGGGCATGCGGATGGGCTTGATCGCTACACTGTTGCGTATTGAGCCCCGACGCCGCCATGTAGGTGGCGCCAATCGTCTTGATCTTCTCGATATTGGAAAAGTCGGATTTGCGCAAGAGTTCGTCGAAGTCCCCGATAAGTTCGTTCAGGACACGGTAGCACTCCTTCCCGCCTTCGTAGCTCTCCTCGTAGAACTCGCTGAAGTTGACGATGCTGGCGAAGATGACGCCCACGTTGTCGTGGTTCTTCGAGTAGCTCTGGGTCACCTTCAGCTGCTCGGCCACGTGGATAGGGATGATGTTGCGCAGGAGCCAGTCGGCCTGGTCCCGCATGTTTTGGATCTTGATGCGGTGCTGGTCTGCTTCCACGTTGCCGTGGTAGTGTAGACGGTAGCTCACCTCGAACTCACGGTTTAGGAACCAAACGAGGAGGAGCAATAGGAAGAAGGCAGCCAAAGCTTCCGGGCCGAGCAGGTCCTGCAGTCGGGTTGAATCTTCTGCAGGGGATTGGACGTCATTAAAGCTGCTGTTGAAGTCACTGGATCTGGTGGATACAGAGAAAGACAACTGCTGAATCAAAAATGAAAACTCTAGGTTGAGAGTTTTTAAGTGGTATGCTAGCATAAAATCAATCTACTAAAATGTGAAACAACAAGTAGTATCTGTAGTCTTAAACTTACCTCACAAATAAACGTTCCCAAGTGCTATAAGAAAAATGACAGCGAAAAGTTAGCTTTGGATTAGTTTTAGCATAACATAACTAATTTATGAAAGTCCAATAAAAGCATCACAATTCATAAACTTGGATTAATAAATATTTTTATTCAGCAAGGATGCATTAAATTGATAGAAAGTGACAATAAAGACATTTATAATGTTAAAAACCATGCCTATTTCAAATAAACATTGTTTTTTCGAATTTCACAATTGTGTGAAATTAACTACAATTACAAAAAAAAAAAACTCAGAATTGTGAGACTTAAACTCAAAATTCTTAGAAATAATGTTGCAACTGAGAAATAAAGTAAGAATTGCGAGATATTTATTTTGACTTTATTATTTTCAATTGCGACTTAAGTCAGTATTGTGAGATATAAACTCACAATTCTGAGAAAATATCAGAAAATATCATTTTCTCCTCAGAACTGGATTTTATAACTTGCATTTGCACATTTATATCTCACAATTCTGACTTTATTTCTCACAATTGTGAGTTTTATTTTACAATTCTGAGAAAAAAAGTCCGAATTGTGAGATAAAGAGCCGCTATTACCGTACCTTTTTGTTTTCAGTGGTGGAAACGGGCTTGTTTTCCAGTTAAAATATCTAAAAATCTCATCTTTTGTACTATCTTTTGTACTTTTTTTAAATAAAGGAAAAGAAAAACTGCATTAAATCAAAATACATTGTCATTTTTAAGACATTTTCTCTAAAAACAAGTCTTATGCAGTGTTGTTTCTCAAGTAAATGGATTTCTAAATATTTAACTCAAAGATGACAAAAACACTTTTTTTTGCTGTGTGCAAAAGTTCTATGTATACATTGTGCACTGTATGATTGTTTGAACCTGCAAGGGGGGCTCCAGAGCACACTGAGAAAGGTGAGTCCCGCAAGCGTCGCCAGGCTTGAACGCATCCAGAAACTGAGCTGGCAGAAATTGCTGTACTGGATGATGGCAATTATGACAGCACAGCAGGTGAACATGGTGAACTGGGGAAAAGAATGACATGAATTAAACATGCTCATGCTCGCAGCACAGTACGTGCAGGATTGCAGTTTACAGAAATATGTACTTCCCTGACTCAAAGCAGCATCAAATTGCTTCAATTACTGCATCTTTGCTGTCCAGAGGTCACTAGACATGTCTATAAATTGTTACATAATAGATATGTACTGTACTATACATTAGTGCACACTTTAAAGGCATTTAGCCCAGCATTTATCGTGTTTTGCTACTGCATATAAAATGGTTTCTTGTGTTTTAACAATAAATACTTTCTATTTACAGCTGTTTTAGAGTGCTTTTGAAGAAAATCTACACAATAAGGACCAAGAAACTTTCCAAGCAGGCAGGAGACAAGAACCCTCATTTATTAAACTCATATGTGACCCTGGAGCACAAAAGCAGTCTTAAGTCGCTGGGGTATATTTGTAGCAATATCCAACAATACATTGCATGGGTCAAAATTATCGATTTTTCTTTTATGCCAAAAATCATTAGGATATTAAGTAAAGATCATGTTCCATGAAGATATTTTGTAAATTTCCTACTGTAAATATATCAAAACTTAATTTTTTATTAGTAATATGCATGGCTAAGAACTTCATTTGGACAACTTTAAAGGCGATTTTCTCAATATTTTGATTTTTTTTGCACCCTCAGATTCCAGATTTTCAAATAGTTGTATCTCAGCCAAATTTTGTCCTATCCTAACAAACCATACATCAATGAAAAGCTTATTTATTCAGCTTTCAGATGCAGCATAAATCTCAATTTAAAAAAATTGACCCTTATGACTGGTTTTGTGGACCAGGATCAAATATGTGATCCTAAACTCAGTGGATTTAATTCTGCTTTAAAAGGGATCAACAAATTGGGATGTATACATAAAAATATATTTATTATAAAAAAAAATTACACACTACTGTTCAAAAGTATGTGGTCGGTAAGATTTTTAAAAAATCTTTTCGAACTAAGTCTGTTATGCTCAGCAAGGCTGCATTTATTTGATCAAAAATACAATAAAAACTGTAATATTCTGAAAAATATTTACAATTTAAAAAAACAATTTTTTTCTATTATACTATATTTTAAAATGTGATTTATTCCTGTGATCAAAGCTGAATTTTCAGCATCATTACTCCAGTCTTCAGTGTCACATGATCCTTCAGAAATCATTCTATGATGATTTGCTGCTCAAGAAACTTTTATTATTATTATCAGTGTTGAAAACACTTGTGCTTTTTAATATTTTTTGGAAACCATGATACTTTTTTTCAGGATTGATTGATTGTTTGTTTGTTTAAATAAATGTCTTTACTGTCACATTTGATCAATTTAATGCATCCTTGCAGAATTGTATATATATATATACATATACTGACCTACTGACCTCAAACTTTGGAACACTATATTAAGCATGCATGTTATTTTGATTCTTTGGTATGATAAGAATAAATCACAGTTTCACAAACTTGTGACTACAATTTTTATTATCTAAATGCTATTTTAGTATTTATTAATATTTAGAACTATTTTTATATTCTAATCCTAAAGATGGAGGAAATGGATGGAGGAAAATGTTGCCATCTGAAACAGGACAAAGACTGGGTTACTGTAGAACAAAATGTCCTAATTAAAAAAATTCAGTATGAAGTATGTATGTGAGCAGTGCAATGGTAGATATCAGAGTACCATGATATTAGCATCACTGTACTGCTACAGTACGTTTTTGGAAGGGAAAACATTGAAATGTTAAACAAATGCAATTTATATTTAATAAAAATATTTTACATACATGAAAACCCCTTCACAATATCTTTACTACTGTGTTTACCTGTATGGAGTCATGCATATTGCAGGTGATATGAGAAAACACAGCCACGGCGGGTAAAGACACCAGCACCGCTCCGATCATGTGACGGGGAACCCAGCCAGAAATGGCCCAGAAGAGGGTCCTGGTGCAGTTCAGGACTCTGTCCAGGTAAAAGGCTCGCCTGTAAAGTAGACAATGAGATAGACACATTCTATAAGATTCAGGACTATACAGCAACAGCTATATGCGCTTTGTGTATTGTGCATTATGCTGCTATTGCCTTGGTCCTGTTTTAAGACTGAGGTAATAGCCTATTCTGAACAACAAAACATCCCAATAACATACTGGAATATGAGTTAAAAGTGTTAAAACTTCCATAATTTAAGGCAGCTGTTTCCTTGGTGTTTATGGACCTTAGTTAGAGTAGATGCCATATTTACTTTAATGTGATCCAGGGTTATTATATTTAACTAAAACTAAAACCATAAAAAAAAAACACAGTAAAAATAATTTGAAATAAAATAAATTATTACCTGTAGTAAAATAATACAAAAAAACTTTTAATAATATATTATAATAATATAATATATTATTACTTTTTTCAGCTCGTTGCCAAAGCAACGTTTCTCTTTTTAATTTAGTTTTACTTGATGTGTTAAAATAACTCAAATAAAACTTAAATAAAATTAATAGACATATAAAAACATCACACTACTAAAAATAACAAAAACACAGAACAAAATGTCCAAAACTTCTAATTTAATCTAATTATAACAAAAACTAAAATTAGAATGAAAAATATAAAAATAAAAACTATAATAGTATCTCAATGATACTAAAGTAACACTGATATGAACAAAAACACGCCAGGCAAAGTATCTATTCAATTCCATCATGCAGACAATATAACACTAAAAATATTGATATTGACATTTTTATCAGACAGTAAAATCCAATTTGCCCACAATTTCCAGACAGTAAAACAATTATCTGTGTTTAACCAAATTGCAAAGAGAAATATTGTTAAAAACTACTGCCGTTATTTTACTGCCTTTAAAGGGATAGTTCACCTGAAAATGAAAATTCTGTCATCATTTACTCACCCTCATGCTACTCCAAACCTGTATGTAAGAAAATGCTGCTAGCCAAACATGTTTGGTTCCCACTGACATCCATTGTATTTTTAAAGGGGTCATATGATGCGATTTCAAGTTGATGTGTTTTTTGAACATTAAAGCATGTCAACATATTCTGTTACACCAAATACACCAAATAATGATCGTTAAAAAAGCATCATATGACCCCTTTAATCAATGCAATAAAAGTCAATGGGAACTGAGACTGTTTAGTTACCAACATTCTTCAAAACATCTGGAACGAATGCGGGTGAGTAAATGATGACAGAATTTTCATTTTGGGCTGAATGATCCTTTTAAAGTCACTGAATGCAAATGAAACACATTTGAATTTTGAATTTTAGCTACAAAGGATGCTAAAGCTTTTGAATATGAAACAAACATCTGTATCAGCCTGGAACAGATCCAGACGCCTGCTGGTTGAAACAGAGGCTAAAGGAGTAATTACTCTCCATTATTTAACACATGTATCATTCTTTGAGATGTTTTTTTTTATTGTTATTATTTTTAGCTCAGCCCCATTCTGTTACAGTAGCAATATTTGCAGAATTTGTTCATCTCAAGAGGCCTGAAATTCTTCTTGAAAATACTCAGCGACATTTCTGACAAGTATTAAAAAGATCATGCAATTTGATCTGTTGAATATTTACAGCAAGTAAACCCTTTTTTCAACCCTTTTGGCCTCATCTACACAGGCAGGTTTAAGTAAGGCATAGTTCATTCAAAAATGAAATTTCTAGAATCATTTATTTACCATCATTTAATTCTAAACATGTACAATTTTCTACAAATATAGCATGACATGTTGCACCATTTTGATTATTCATTAGGGGTCTTAGAGTTAACTAAAACTAAAACCATAAAAAATGGTTACTAGAAATAAAATAATCGTTAACTGAAATGAACTCAAATTTAACTAATTTTAACTTATGAACATCAAAGATCACACAACAGAAGTGCGCGCGTGTTCTCTCTCGCTCTCTCTTTCTGTCTCTCTCTCGCTCTCTCCCTACCGTTGAGTAACTTGTGCATTGTTTTACTTACTTGTTTTTTACATATCCGCATGAACTACAAACTTTCCAGTGATGTCTGTGAGAAAGATATATTCATTCGACAAGCTCGCGCATCTGCGCCGCCGCGCGCTCAATCCACTCAGCGTGCTTTGTTTATCAGCTCGCACACATCAGCTATACAGGCGTTAATACTGAATGTTTAACATTATATTCATTGCATACATATACTTCGTAGTAGACATCCATAACTCCTTTCTGCTGTCTGTTGTCAGTGTTTCTTTGTTTAAATATGGCGCTTATCACATGCTGTGTGGTATCGGCGTTTGGTATCGGGGCATTTTAACGAGTACGAGTACGAGTACAGAGGCCAGTATCGGGCCCGATACCGATACCAGTATCGGTATCGGTGCATCCCTACTTATTGCCAAGGCAACATTTCAAATTTTTAAAATGAAGTTTAAAATGAAGTACTAAAACAATTAAAAGTAAATTAACTACAACTAATAAATAAAATTATTTAAAAATATATAGACAATAATTAAACTACTAATAAACATGAATAAATTATACACATGCATCCAAAAATGAAATCATTTATTCACCCTAATGTCATTCTAAAACTATAAAATTAATTTTGTTCAAACCTAGCATGCATGACGTGTTGCAACATATTTGATTATACGCCGGGGTTATTATAGTGTACTAAAACCATTAAAAAAATTTTTTTTTTTTAAATATTTTTGAACATTAACTGAAATAAAGCAAAATATACATATATAAAAAAAACTTTATCTTATTTAAAGTTGCCAAATCAACATTTTTTATTTTCATTTAGTTTAACTTTATTTGTTACTAAAGCGACAAAAACTAAATAAACAAATGTAAAAAAAAAATAATAATAAAAATGACTAAAAAATTTCAAAAACAAAATTAATAAAACTTTAACTAAAAGTAAAGTGAAAACAGAAAATCTAAAAATAAAACAATTCAAAATATGAACAAAAACTATAATATGGCCTTTTTGTCTATTGTTTTTTTTTGTTTTTGTTTTTTCAGTTATGCAGTTTTGGCAAATCCATTCACTGTCAATTTACAGGGGAAAAAAACAGTTAGGACATTCTGAAAAATATGCTCTTTTATATTGCATGAAAACCAATCGTACAGGTTTGGAACAACATGAGGGTGAATAAATGATCGTAATCTTTACACTCACCGTATTGCCAGCACTAGGGCCAAACATTCAAGCACAGCTGCAACTGCGGCTACTATGAGTGCAGGTGTGGGCAGGGGCTGCTGGGTAACCAGCGGTCGCAGGAGGCAGGCCACAGAGAGAGCCAGGAGAACACAACAGCACAGGAGCATGTCTAGGAAAGAGCTGAATGTTGGACTGGCAAACGTCTGGACAGGAGCCTGTGTCTTAACCTGACAACAATCAGAAAGAAAACAACAGAATTACTGATCAAATCAAGAACTTTGATTTGAAAAATACTTCTAGTATAATATGTCCTGGTTAGCATTTATGCATTTCAAAAGGCAGACCACCAGAGGGCAGTACAGACAGTGCAACAAACTTTGTACTTGTGACGCTTTCTCTCTCTTACTGACCAGTTAGAACAAATCACAGACCACTACTGAGTTAAAACCAGTTATAAACATCGTGACAGAGTGAGAACAAATTAAAAGCGACATATAAATGGAAGGAACATCATACCTCATCCTGGTAGCTGGTCCTGTAAGCCGACTCCAGGGATTTGTCTATGAAAGTGTGGCTCAACCTGTTGATGGGCGGTCTGAAGAAGTAATCTTTCATCAGACTGCAAGGTCGAAGCACAGAAAACAAGATTAGATTGTGAAGGAAATTCACTAAGAATCCAATGCGTCCGTTGTTTATATGCATGCAGAAGGTTTGCACTGAAGGCAGCTTTGTGGTAAGAAAAAAGAAAACGTCTGGTTTTAAATGCACACAGAGCTGAGCTATATCAGCACATATAGCTTTATACACACAGTACAGCGCCTTTTATGGGTGAATCACACAAAACACATCCAGATGACACTTCAACCCTAAATCAAAATAAAAAAATAAGAAACTATATTTTCACAAAGAAAATGTAGCTTAAACGAGTTCACACAAAAAATGAAATTTTACTCATGCTCAGGCCATCCAAGTTGTAGATGAGTTTGTTTGTTCACTGAAAAAGATTTGGAGGAATGTAGCATTTCATCACTTGCTCACCAAAGGATCCTCTGCAGTGATTGGGTGCCGTCAGAATGAGAGTCCAAACAGCTGATAAAAACATCACAATAATTCACCAGTAATCCATACCACTCCAGTCCATCAGTTAATGTCTTGTGAGGCGAGAAGCTGCATGTTTTAAGAAACAAATCCCTCATTAAGACATTTTTAACTTCAAATCATTGTTTCTGGCTAAAATATGATTCCTCTATCCATAATATTGCTTTCTTCAGTGAAAATGTTGTCTCATCAAGCACTGTTTACAAGCGAAAACAATCCAAAACATTTCAACAAATATGTTGTTGGATTTTGATGTGAGAGAGAAACGGGAGGTAGACTTTTTCACTGGATGAAGCGTTATTATGGGTTATGGACTCGTATTTTGGTACAGAAGCGACACTGTAAAGTTAAAAAGTTAAAATGCCTTAACCTCTTAAGACCCGAGAAAAGATTTTTAGGAAAAAACATCACATGTCTTTACATTGTTTAGAGCATAAAAAAAAATGTAAAAAATGATATTTCGTTCATAAGTTATTCTATTTCCTCGGTAGAGGACATCGGGACTCAATAAAAAAAAATAAAAAAAAGACATGAATGAACATGCATAGGCAAAAACAATAGATTTTTTATATCACCAATACATTTTTAGTTTTCAGGATTTTTTTTTTTTACCAAACTTTGTATAAAGATGATTCTCAACTATGTTATAACAGAATGATTT